CTTGTTGTGGTGAGCCTATTAATGTCTATGATTGAGCTGTTACTTTTTATGGTTTTAATGGGAAATGCAGGCAGCTGAGGCTGCTGGGAGGAGAAATAAAAGAGGCTCAAAGAATGAAAAGCTTTGCAAGTTTTTCAGGGCTCGTTTGGAATCTAGAGAAGCAGGTTAACAAGTACAGGGACCCGAGTCTCACAGGTTTGTTTTGGAGGCATGTTGGTCCATGTGACTTTCACACAATACTGAATGCAACAGAGCTCTGCCAACATGGACGTTTATATATTCACATCAGTGCATGAACACAGAGACGGGTTTGAGCTGAGGATCTGTGCTGTGTGCAACACTCCAAAAGGGTGTGTAGTCATGTAGTCAAATATAACAGTGTTAATCAGGAGAAGAAGCCCCTGAGTTACAGATGAGTTGTTCTAAACCAGCACTTCCTCAAACTACCTGCAGCTCACCACGTCGAAGCACTGGGGAGTTTTTTTTATGACATGCATCTTAAGAAGTTTATTTATTTATTTTCCTTTTGCCTGTCCCGTTTGGTTCATCATCAGATTTATTGTCTAAAGGTGAAGAAAGATGCCCAACGGATTTACTTTACCAAATTGACCATCCCAGCCTTGCCGTAGTGGTCTATTTGATTCACCTTTTATTGTTTATTTTATTTATTATTTTTATTTTCACTTGCTAGATACGGGACAGACTTGAATGAGGAAAAGAAAAGGGAGAAAGGAAAAGGGGAAAAAAACAGCGGAGAAGAGGGAAAGAAGAAAGAAGTTTATTTTTATAAACTTAGCTAACTGAATGGTTGTAGCTTAACGGATCCAAGTAGCCTAATGTTCATTTTTAGCCAACAAATTTAGATTAAATAATTTATTCACCAGCTCAGTGAATCATTCATCACTGCATGTGAACAAGGCTAACCACGCTTTGGAGCTGGTACAGACCTATATTACCGTCTCTTTATGCTACAAGTGGGACATAAACGTGTTATGGTGGGTGGACAGAGGTATGCTAATTGCTTACAACCTGCCCATCCCCACCACTCAGTGGCAGCCTTTCTGGTGCAAACCCTGAACTTGAAGCCCAGTACATATACTGGTATTCAAAATTTAAACCACATGGACAAATAATAAAGTTACAACTCAAACTGCTGTCTGCTTCCTGTCTCCTACAGTAAAGAGAGAAAACGTTTGCTTTAAAGCAGAAAAAAGCCAAAGCAGCCAAGAAAAGGCATGAAGGCATAATTATACCTAAACAACGTGAGAAAATATGATTTCATGATTTGTTCTGATTGGTCTTTAAACATAAGCCAGCCATCGTTATTAAAAACAAAGTAACTCTGTATGTCTTTGACTTTATAGCACAAAAATGTACAATCCGTCTATCATTGCTCCCTGCCTTCAGGAACCCTGACTGACATCTGTTCTCTCTTTTTTTCTTTAACTCCCCCATTGCTGAATAAATTTACACTGCGATCACTGCAAACACACACCTGAGGCACAGCTGCCGTCTGATTGGTGGACAGGTGAGGCCCAGCTCTCTCCACGCCCACCAGTTCAAATAAAAACAAACCTTCTAACCGACTGAACTTAGTGACTCCATTATGTCAACACACACCGCCTCAAAACACACTGCAGTTCCTCCTACCACAGAAGAGAAAATGATCCTCTGCAGTTTATTGGATACAACAGAGCCGAACATTAGCCAATCACTGACACTGACACAGGATTCTCGAGGCTGTTGGTCAGTGAAGTCTGAATGAAATCTGCCTCATCCTGCCAATGACGACCCAAATAACACAAATGGATAAAGCTAAGCATGCAACCTCTCTGCTGGATTCAAAGGGGTTTTTCTGTGACAAATACAGAGCATTCATAACATTAACTTTGTTCATCCTTAACACTAAAACATAAGTGACCGCGTTATGCAGCCGTTTTCTATGTTTAGCAGCTTTTCTCCCCGTGAAACAAAAACCTGCAGAGTATATAAAACGACTCTGATTGCTGCTGGACTGCAAGACCGATTCCTGTTTCAAGAAAATGACCAAGTGATGAAAATGTGCCGTCTGGATTTGTGGTTAGGCTCTATTTATAGCGGCTGGACTGAGTGCTGCAGACTGTTTTGGCTGCAGCTCAGTAATTAGAGATGAGAAACCTCCTGCTGAAGGATGTGTCATTGTCAACGCATTCGTGTCTCTGATGTTCAGGACAATGTGCTCTTCTGTAGCTCGCAGGCATAACTTTGAATTTAAGTCAGGCTGGAGAAATCGTCCCGAGCATTTCCACATATGAAAATCTTTCAGAACTCGATGGATGATATTAAATAAATCGCACAAATTAGGAGAAAATGATCCTAACAGATGTGATGTTGACAGTGAGATTTCTCCTCTTCGCACTCCTCCTCAAACACTTTGAACCACAGTCATCATAAAGATGACAGCCATTAAGTGCTGAAACTAACACATTCTTTCAGTCATTTAACACTGTCTCTTAAATGTGTCATTCTCCAGTTCAGCCTGTCAGCTGCTTCAACTCTTTGAACCTCACAAATACTCCATATAAAAGTCTCCCTTCTCCCCAGGAAGCCAGATAAGTTAATAATAATAGGATGAATCCTAACTAAGTGAATGGTCAGTGGCTTGTTTCGGCATAAATGTAAATAAAAATAAAATGGCAAGGCTAAAACCAACAGAAATCTGACAATTAAAGATGAAATATTCACAGAATGTAGCTAAATGGTGGTTAGCAGCGTTACCAGGTTCTCCCTCGTCTGCACGAGTTCTCTCCAGCTCCCTCACTCAGTAACATATGAATGGGTTTAGGTTAACTGGTGATTCTAAAGGTGACCATTACCACAAAGCAAGAAGATTCTGTAACACAGTGAATTTACTAATGGAGTTAATCAGGCATCCTAAAGAGGTTTTCAAAGACAGCCGGCTGAAGGTTCGATGCCCTTTATTAACAGCATGTCTTTGTCTGTCCGGAGACTGCGGGTCCCTCGTGTACACACTGCATAAATAAGAAACACTTCAGGTTCTTTCCCAGTTCACATTCCTCTCTTGTCAAACCGTTGGCCTCCGTATGAAATGACTGAAGCCGGTTTACTTCCTTGTCAAATGCCCTTTTCCTTGAAGACTGGGCTCTTTGTTTCAGCTGTGATTAGCTGGCAGATATACAGGCAGGCAGGCCGATATTTGAGACTATTGTGCGCCTGCATGCTTCTGGCAATGAGAATTATTCCCCCTCAGACTTCCACAGAACTGAACTGCTGGATGTAGCCCTGCACACTCGTCATGAGACCGGCTCGGCGTGGCAGTGTTTGTTTAACTCAGCCTCACACATGCACCTATGAGCTCAGTGAGTTCCATGACCTTTGGCCCTTCATACTGCCGAAAGTGAGACTGGAATTTCAAATTTTACAAGCACCAATGGGAAAGCAGGTGTTTTTTTATTCGTTTTTTTTTTCAAACCAGGAAGCAAAGCTTTTTATAATTGTTCGCCAGCCTTTAACGCCGCTACCTGAAGAGAAACCAGTTTTAAATCACTTTCAGTGTCATACGGTTTTTGTTTGTTTGTTTGTTTTTCTGAGCAGGTCTGTTAGTGAAACCAACCACAGTGATGACAGGTTGTTTTCCTGAGGGCTTCCAAAGGGGACAAAAAAGAAAGCATTGAGGTATGAGTCAGGGATGACTCAAGTGTTACCGCTGTTACCTGGCCCACGTCATCAGAGGAAAAGGTGTGAGCGCTGATATTGCAAGCGTATCGCAATGAACACCTTTTATCCCTGAGTCACAGCTCATGCTGTTAGATGGTGGACGTACAGCATGCTTACAGAGTGCTTCAGGTAATCGAGAAAAACCACCTGATGTACCCAACAGTGACGAGGGCAGCCCAAATGACCAGGTAACAGAAGTCACAGTTAGATCCACAAATGTCAGGAAATTTCTACGCATGTACTTCTGAAGCAAATGGACTTATTTGTTGTTAATATAATAATTACATTACTGCACAGTAAGGCTCACCAGCTGATCACCGCTTACACAGAACATGACCATTCTTAACCTGGAGTGAAGCCAACAGTCTGCACAAAGAACAAGACAAGAAGAGGCAGAAAGTAGGCCAGCAATCGGCAAGCTGCAACACTGATGTTTAGTATTGGAAAGCTTTCTTTTCATTTACATTTTAATTATTGAAATATGTGTTTAATGTCGTTGTTTTGATGAAGACTTTTAAGTGTGTTTGAAAATGTTTTTTGACGAATAAAACCAGAAATAGTTGAGGAGTCCAAACTCTGCTGCACCATAACAGAGCAAAGCAAAGTGACTGCTGCCATTAATGAAACCTCAGTGGTAGCTTACACTGAATAAGTTCAATCAGCTTTTAAGGCAGGAGCACAGGACTCGTGCTTCCGAACATCCTACAGTCACTGAAAGTGTGAATTTCTGCATCTTGGCCAGAACAAAACTCCCCTTGGCCGCAGGTTTAGACTTCTATCAATATCTTTACAAGACAGTTTCTGCGGAAGGAAAGAAGAAAAGAGGTGCGGAAATACCAAAGGTCCACTGGGACCAGTCCAAACCCCCTCTGTCCCTGTGAGATCCGTGTTTTAATGATGTACGTCTGATATTCTTACAGGGATTTGGGAAAAGCGCGTTTAAAGAATCTAAAAAGTGCTTTATGGCATCTTTATGACATGAGCAGGAACTCCACTGGGTTTATTTTACATTGCTCACCGTTTAATTTCCATTTTAAAGTATCCTATCTTACCATTACTCCTGGCACTCAGTAGTAAGTTTATGCCTCATAGTATTTGCATCCTTTCAATAAAGCAAGATTTGGAGCCTGCTGTGCATGAGCTGCACATGTTTGGAGAGGTTTCCTTGTTTTACAATTCTCCAAAAGTTTGCAGGACGAGAGGAAAAGTAACACTGCGAGCATATGGAAGATGTGCTGCGCGCTGCGTGAACGAAGCAGTTGCAGACTTGAGCGTCTTCTTACCTCCGTGAAGAAATTATCCATTGCACGATTTATTTTAATCCCCGAGGATTTACTGTATGGCACCCGCGCGTCCGGTCAATCCAACTCATGTGTTGTTAGTGGGATCCAAACAAAAACCCAGAAAGAAGAAGGGCGGCGGATCCGAAAGCTTCAGTGCATCATCTTTCTCCTGAAAGTGTGCGGGCTGGAGGACGCTCACAGCGTGGGTCAGTGTGGAGCTACAGTAGTAAGTTTACTCTTTTGTTTCCTGGGTTACTCATCCAGCACAGAGTCCTTTAAAGCAGATCTTTGGGGGCTTCTGCTGTTGGAGCTCTCTGCGTGTCCTCGCGCGTGTCCGGCTGTCACTTCTTGGTCCACGTGGTTCGGTGCGCACTTTGTTTGATCAACAGTGAAAATGTGGAGGAAACGCGACTAAACGACACGCCGGTCAAACTTTGGAGATTCTCTCTCGGCCAGCCAGTCACTCAGACCGGCGGACAATAATACTCAAGCTCCACCTCCAGCCCTTCCAGCACCTCCCTCCTTCTCCCACTACTGCTGCCCCGCTGTCTCTCTGACTCCTCCTGCTGTCAACATGGAGAGTCTGGAGCTCAGAGACTGGGAAGGTAAGAAAAGGCGCTGGAGCGCAGAAAGGCTGAAAACTGCTTAAATTTGGAGAAGGACTCACTTTTGGGGGCAGCCTCAAGTGGCCAATTGAAGAACTGCAGTTTTTTTTATTTTTGCTTCAAAGATGATGTGATGTTATTCATGTGATTGTTGTGTTTTTCTCTGTATGTATTACTGTAGGGTCTACCTCACAATATAAAGCACCTTGAGGCGACTGTTCTTGTGATTTGGCGCTGTATAAATAAAATTGAATTGAATTGATGTGGCTTTGAATTGTACAACTGGATCAAACCTTTATTCAAATCCCCTCCTGCAGAAAAAGAATAACATGCCATATCTTTCACCAGTCAGTAACAACAGAAATACTTTCAAGTTGAATTTCAGTGAAATAGAACAAAGGCTTATAACTTAAGCAAACTCGGTTCAAGGTTCAAGGTTCTTTATTTGTCACATGCATAGTTATACAAGTATAACACATAGTGAAATGTAGCCTGACACGCTCCTC